CGCTAGCACTCCTCTGAGCTCAGAAGCTAAGGCTCCACCGAGCATCTGTTAGAGCACAGTAAAGCAACCAGACCACCTTGCATTCTGCCTACCACCTGGCCAAAAGTTACTCTGCTTCAGTCAACAACCCCATCCATCAAAACCCTGCATAAGCAGGTACAATTAACCAGCACGGCCTCGGGCTTCTGTTTTCAGAATGAGAAAAGGCCGAGCTGCAGCCCATCAGCGCTCGGAAAAAAATCAAATATAGTTGAGGATACTTAATATTAAGCAATTTCAATTGCTATGCTTACTCAGTCTGACCGGTAAGAACAGCGCAGGTTCCACGCTGAAGCCGTTAGTGATGTGACCCCTGTACTCATCTGCCAAGTGCAAGGCAAACGCTGCCTAGACTGAAATCACAGCCTCGGTGAGCAGGGCTGTCCCGCTGTCAGAAAGATGCTGGTCTCAGAGGGTCACATCTCTCAGCTGTCACCCAGCACAGTCCTTCACAGGAGGCTTGAGCAAACCACCAAGAAGGAACATCCCTCTCCCTGGGCAGCATCCCAGCCCGAGGCACAGGCTGGCGTGGGTTAGCAGCACTGCCGCCTCCCTGCTTTGCATCAATAGAGGGCTGGTCAATCTAGCATATTTCAGCAGCCCTAAACACTTCTTAGATACTTCAAAAGATATTTAAAGCAAGCAAGCAAACAAAAACAAACAGGCTGGGAAACATAAAAGCAGATTTGTTCTATCCCTGTCTAATTGATCCAAGGGTTCAAAGACTGCTGTGAAGAAGGCAAGCTCAAAACTGCACTGAGGATGCAAAGACCCACATTCAAAGCCACACAAAGCTGATGACTGCTCAGGAAGGAGCGGGATTTCATGCCCATCCAGGCTCAGCTTCCCACTTCACCACTTGAGAATACAACCTGAAGCACGGCTGCCTCTCACGCAGGGATGAGCAGTACCCAGCACAGAGTCTCCTGAACACCAAACAAGTGGAGTAGCCTTGTGCCTATCCTTTTTCAGCAGATGTGCAGAGGGCGGAGGAAGTCAGGCTCACAGCCGAGTCCGTTCCTGCCCTCAGAGCTTGCTGAGCATGGCTGGGCAGCAGTGTCTGCATACTGCAAACAGCACAGAAACCATGCCAGGAACCGGCTAACAATGCTCTGAAAGCACCTACCTGCCAACACCTCTGGAACACCTGCATCCCTCCCCACCTACACGCAGCTGCCAGGAGAGGTGTTGCTCAGGGTCTCCTAACACCACCGCTGCCATCAGAGATGACAACTGAGGCTGACACACTGCTGAGAGCAGAAGAAAAGCAGCCCAGAGTCAGTTTTCACTTTGGAGAGGCACTGAGGCTGCCCAGGGCTGCTCTCTGCCTTCTGTCCAGCATCCCCACCCCTTTGGTGGTGGGTGAGCCCCCTTCTCTGCACTCCCCTCCAGCTGGCAGGCTGCCCTGGCCAGTGCCAGCTCCAGAGGGGAGAGCTGGCAAGGAGGAATTGAAGAGGGGAATGCTGCAAGGCAGCACTCTGTTTAGTGCACGCCAGAGACCTGGTTTACCCACCCAGGGACAGCTCAGGCAGGCACTGCCACCAGGCTCCATCTAAGAAGGGCTCAGCACAGGGCGCCTGATCGACTGCAACCCACAGAGCACGAGGCACGGCCAAGTCCTGGCTGAGCAGACGCTGGAACCTCAGCCCAAACCGACCGATGTGGAAGAGGGCAGCCAGCGAGGGTGGCACAGGCAGCCAGTGCTCCCACCCCACGTCCAGCAGCTGTGCCGAGGGCAGAGCTGGCTGTTTGCACCCTGGGACGTGTCTCGGCACCGGGCAGCACTGCTTCTTGATCATGGGTGCCTTCACCCCTACGAAACAACTCCCTTATAGCTCCAGCAAGTTCCCTTACTTGTCTCCAAAGGCAAAAGCCTACCAGTACTCAATTCTGAACTTGCTGTGTGTGAAAGAGGACAAGATCATTTTTCAGGGCCACATTTTTGGTGTTTTTGAGAAACAGACACAACCTCTGTTTATTTGCTTCATGTTTTAGCTACTCTCTAGCTTCTTCCAGTTTGTTGCTTTAAGCTCTCTGTGTTTGCATTTCTTGACAAGGTCGCTGCTTTCACAAGACTTTTGCAGCACTGCCCCACTTCCCTGGCCTCCAGCTTTGTCTTCTGACATCCAGTTGCTCTCAGAATTTTAATTAAAATCACAAAGAGCTCAGCAAGAGGAGCCAGAACAGCAGAGGAAAACATCCAACACTCCTTCTGCCCCCAGCCCCCCCGCGGAAGGCAATGCCCAAGACGTAGAAGCAAAAGTAACCTGTGAAGGACATCATAGTCTGATGGTCTGGCTCAGGGTTTCTCAGCCAACAGTACAGATTTTCCCAGAACTCAAGCTTGCTATGAAACTTTATTCTACCTGCTTGATGCAATTAATGTGCTGTATAACATGCCTGTCTTATCAGATGATTTTAGCAACCTTATGAATATGCAGCCACTTTATAGCCATAAGCAGGGAAAATAATCTGAAGGGAAAATAAATGGAGAGCTCTCCTCACCACAAGATTTGTTGACATCAAGAGGCATGGCTGGTTCAGAAGTAAACTTGAACCTCAACTCTCTCACCTGCTTCCTATTACAGAAACAGATGTTCCTCCTGCTATAAATTGCCACTATTAATAATATAAATAATTATGCTTTTCTAATCATTTAATAGGTGCACAGGAGGGTACCAAAATTCCTGGCAGTCATTAAATACACCTCCCTTCTTCTCAAGGGCTCAGCGACACATCAGTGACCTCTCTTACCCTCCACTGAAGTTCAGAATAAGAGAGTCGAAGCCAGAATAAAAGCTAAGGAGAAATCAAGGGAGCTGGGCTCCTCCCCACAGGCTGTCCTGCAGACCCATCCTCTCTCCAAATCTCCATGCACCAGGGACAGCACTTTTCCCACCTGAGATGCAGGTGCAAAAGCATACATGTGGCTAAGCACCGCAACATTCACACTCCTTTCCTCTGACAAGCTGCTGCTGCACAGCCCCAGCCCACAAAACACAGGGGCAGTTGATTTTTACCTCTCCAGCAGGTTCCCAGGACACAGCAAGGGGCAGCATCCCCCCACGTCCCACCGACTGGGGAAGCCCTACTCGGCAAGGGAACATGCCCGGAGCCCTGTGGTCCCCTCCTCTCCCCCACCGCAAGCCCCAGTCATTTGCGGTTTTTCCTCCAGAGTACGCTTTGTCCTTCTGTTGACAACAGCCCCAGCCTTGGGAACGTGAGCAGTAGCACCAGAGATTAAGGAGGTCACTGCAACCTCCAGCGAACAATGCCTCTGATTACAGCTGTCCAGCCCTCCTTCCCACCCTCCAGAGATCACACGCACAGACCGGCATGGCTCTGTCAGATGAGCGAAAAATCACTACCGGCTCCAGATGTTAACACAGCACAGGCACATCTGGCTCACTGGAGGGCAGTGAGCAGCCCATGGGTCACACGCTGGCTCTGCCTTGCCCTGCCTCACCTCCAGAGCTAAGCCCAGTGACTGACCGGGCTTGCCATATGCTTAAGCAAAAATCCCAACCCTTCAGAGCCACACGCTCTCCAAGTCTCTTGCTGTGAGATGTGGTCGGTGGGGCTGCGCCAGGGAGGCAGTGAGGCTGTGTCACCACCCACGTAGGGGACACTGCCACACACCAGGCTCAGCTCTCCCCAAGAAGGGCTCTGCTCAGGCCAGGACCCTCCCTGACCCCCAAGGCACACTGTCCTGCCTGCAGCGGGACACATGGCAAGTTGCATTCAAGCCCAGATTCAACGGGGAGCGTGTTATGAGAGCAGAAACCCCCTTGCTCTATTTTTTCAGTTATTTCCAGCTAAGAAAAGGCTGTGTACTCCTGGTTATGCAACATGGTCAGAGCTGCAGAGCTTCTCTGAGGAAACAGCTCAACTCCACTGCAGCTCCTGAGAGGGCACGGCAGGGCACGCTGGCTCCCTTGCCCACAGCTCGACTTTTCAGGAAAAGCTTTGGCCCTGACGTAGCAGGCTACGCCTTCAAGATCAATACAGAGAGCAAAAACACGCACAGCCAGCCTTTCTCCCTCCACAACACCGTGCCTCAACCTGACCATCATCTTCTCTACATCAGTTCTACCAACAGGAAAGAGAACATACCGCCTGAGAAAACACGTCTGCATTAACAAGGTCATATTTAATCAGTTGGCACCTCCTGGGATGCAGTTTCGTCTGTGCGAATTAATAAGTCTGTCCACAGCAACAGAGCAACCAGCTGGAAGTGCCCCATGCCAGGCACCCACAAATGTCCGCAGCGGGCAGTTCCAGGACAGGCAGACAGTCCCCGAGCTGGCGACACACGTCAGGCTGGCAGGCTGACAGCGCGCCGTGGCGAGGACTCCGCTGTGCTCTCCTCCTCCCTGGGGAGAGGAGGCAGAACAACCCAGGGCCCCAGTATGGTGAGTAAAGCTATTTTGTCTGCTGTGACCAGGTCTTGCCACATCATTGTTTCCAAGTTTGGCATCACTGAAGGTGTTCCAGGGGTGAGACAGCACCCAGCGTGCCGATACTCACAACCTGCCTTCAGCCCATGCCGTAGGCTTATTCCTTGGGTGCTAATCAGAATGAGAGCAGCCAAAAATCCCTGCCAACAGCTGTCTGACAGCTTGGTTTATCAGTCAAATCAGTTAAAAGGGCCCTGCAGAGCTTTAAAAGAGACAAAAGCTGATTTGCTGCTTGGCACAGTGGAATTTCATTCCCAATGCAGATTAATTCCATTAACTCATTCTGTGCCCTTTTTTGAGGCGGATCCTTCCCTGTCCTTGCAGCTTATGGAAAGTACAGAGCAAACACACCACAGTCTCCTTTCTGGTAAAGGCACTTGATAGCCTCATCTTGCTCTGGCATTCATATTTCCTCCCACGTTGCCCACTTGCAAACACCTTCCCACCCCACACACCACACCTTTCATGAGACCTTTCAACGCCAGCAAAAGCCCAGAAACTCACCTTGTGCTTCGTAGCCAGAGTAGTGCTGAGCCGTGCCCAGATCCTCATCCCCGGGACCCAAGCCGAGGGCTGACTTCAGCTGGGCCACGTTCACCTGTGCTGTCAGCTCACCGTTCCGGTCCCCGATCTACAGGGCGAAAACCAACAGGGCAGCTGGTTAAAAGGCAACAACGTGCTAAGCAAACAGCCCCTCTAGCAAAGGGTTTGCCAGCCCCATGTCAAAGCAAACACACAGCCAGCCAAAAGAGAGCTTGGAGACCATATAGCCCAGCTTTCAACACCAAAGCAACTCTCCAAACCTACTCCTCAGTGATAATTTGCGAGAGGGTCCATGCATGCTGTGCTGTGCACTGGTTGCACCTCAAAATGCAATTCTGCGGGGTTCAGTACAATGAACTGAGAGGACACAGCTCGCCTACTGCTACAGGACTGGGACGGAGGTAAACGTGCACGTCTGGTCCGTCCTGTAGCCACGTATGGCTTGGCAGAGAGCCCTCAAACTCTCAACCCCTTTCCTCAAGTATGTCCGTATTACCGAGCACCAGCCAGCCACACTACTACCAGCCACATGGGCAGTGTCACACTCAGGGCTTGGATGCTCCAAAAGCCCTTCTCTCCTGGCTCAAATCCATACGGCTTTGAGTTGTTCCTAGTGATCTACCCATACAAGACTCGAAAATCTTTTAGAGTCCAAATTTTTCCAAATCCCCATCTCTCGCTGGCCTGAGGCCAAGGAAGCTGATGTTACATGTTCAGGAAGAGATCCGTCCAATGGGTCCTGCTACTTAAAATGAGGAATCGTAGGACGTGCTGCTGGGCCCTCCTCAAAGTTTAACTAAACAAGAAAATTACTGTGCTGCACATCACCAGCCAACACAGAAAGGTCACTCAGAAGCAGCCTCTAATCTTCAGAGGAACAGGAGCCTCCGTTACAGAGGAAGACCTTGGCTGTTCCCTTGGAGAGGCCTGACTCCCTGCTAAATGCCTCTCAATGGCTCCTTTGTGGTCCTTTGAGATAGACTGCAGTGTGAGCTGTCCTAAAACAAAATCATAAATCCCCACATTATTTATGATAAAGCCTCAAGAACTAGTAAAGGGAGGGAGATCAAACGGCTTATCATCCAGCATAAATCCCCTGCCAATTACAAGAGATTTGCGGTTGACATCATCTCCAGAGCAATTACTATGTCCTGGCTAGGTCTCGCAGTCCTTGATGCCCTGTTAAATGCTTCCCTGACTTCCACTCATTCCAGATCATCTCCAAGGCCCTATTATCATCAGGGGAACACACTGGCAGGACAGTCATCCTAGCAGGACCTACCATACACACCACAGCCCCGTTTTCTGCCCTCAGCTCAGGTGTCTCAGTTTCCCCCGGAGCCTCCTGCCACATGCAGAGACAGAGAAGGTACTGCAGAGCTGTGTCTGAGAGCTGGGGCAGCTCCCAAGGTACGTAGCCTTCATTCCAGCTGTTCCAGAGGAAATTTTTCAGTAACCTCCAATCACCCTGCAGCAGCTTCCAAAGTGGTTACCCTGAGCAGATTTCATTTGGATTCAAATGTCACCATCAGATTTTTGTTGGGGGAGAGGGGGGAAAGGTTGATGGGAAGTGAGTTACAAACATTAGTGTGCAAAGGTTTAACTTCACTAGGTTTCTCCTGTGCAAAATGCTGGTGCTTGCCACAACAGCACAAGCAGCTCGCTTGGCTCCCAAGGCTAAAACAAAACATCAGCTTTATAACAGAATCACTAGCTGGGAGAAGCTAATGCAGGCTCTCCTCACAAATGGACAGTCTGCATCGCTCCATAATTAATGATGTGGAGGAGTTTATTAGCCACCTGCCTTGAGTAATCTACTCCTGACATGCCCTGTAATCACAGCCACCACCCCAGACAGAGAACACTGGACCCTCACCCCGCTGGGTTTCCCCTCCAGCCCCAGAAGTCCCCAGGACCACCACTAACTGCTCTTGCCCTCCCATCACCCCTCATCTGCACCGCACACTGATGAGCCGTTGTTTGCTTCCCACTAATCAGCCCCTGCACTGCAACAGTTGTAGCAGACTAAAGCTGGAAAAGTCCTAAAATGTATAGGGCCAAAACCCAGCATTTCTTCTGTGTGTCTGATAAGTATAATTAAATACATAAATAGGCTGTTTGTCAGCCCTGCCCCAAGATTTAGCCAACCTAATAGACAGGCAGGAGAACACACAAAGCACTTACATACGGTGATTTCAATTACTGCTTCAATAGAGCAATTTCTTCATCTGAGGAAGACTAAAGAGGCCACAGCTGATTTCCTCATAACACGCTGGAAAGAGCAAACAATGGAATTCTTGCTTTCTGTACTTCTGAGCCACCTAAAAATGCCGTATGTTCTTGCACCAGGAAAGCTGCAGCTTGCTGGGCAAGCACAGCTGTGAGAACCAGCGTAGCTGCACACACGAAACCCCGAACGGTGCGGCAGCGGTACAGGGCTAGCTGCAGGCTGTGCTCGTCCAGCGTCAGCAATCGGCTGCATTCGGACAATGCTAGAGTTTACCACTTCACAGTCAGGACCCCCTGCCAGCTCCACTGAGAGGAAATAACTTGTCAAACGTACACTCTGTTGCAGTGCAAAATACAGCAGGTTTAGAGCACCCAGCCACCAGGTAGAAGCTGGTTTTGTTTTCTCCAGGTACTTAATTTGCCAGCAAATCAAGGCAGACCACAGCTAGAATCACAAGGTCCATCTCAGAATCTCACAGCCTTGTGCTCAGGAAAGGGGGGGGTCTTACTAATAGACTGGACACCATCAGAGTTCCTTCACACCAGCTAGGTGCACAACACCTTGGCCAGCAGACCGGACAACTAGTCCTCAGGTCCTTTCTCATCCAGGAATATCAGTTAAGAGCGATGTACAGCAAATGTGTTAGCTGTAATTAAGGGGAAGGCTGGGAGCCTCTCATAAAAAGAATGTTTTCCAGCCAAGCTCTGCAGTTCCTAAAGACACCACTGAAACAGCACATAGACAAGGGCTTTCCAGAGCAGTCACAGAAAGAGAAGAACTACATTGATGTAACTTAATTGGCATAAAATAAAGTTTTCCTCTCAACAGGGAAGACTGATTCCCTCTGATCTGAACCAGTTTCTCTTACCTCTTGGGAGATTTCAAGATGTTTCCTTGCAAAGTGCAAAGCTTGTTCATGGCTCCCCAGGGAGACATAGGCATTTCCGAGACTCCAGCAGGCTCTTCCTTCTCCCACCCTGCAAAACGGGAAACTGTCAACCTCGGAAATGCTGGGCCAGACCCAGCAGCACAGCAGCCCTTTCAGGGCCTCCTTCTCGAAAGCGCCAACAGCCAGGTCTCCTAGCTATGCTTTCACTACAGAAAGGTGCTACAAAGGAAAATGAAACGCACTGTACATCTTAAAGTCTTCTTGTGCTGAGGTCAGTAAGATCAGGGGATAAGCCTCAGAAGTGGGGCTACATCCACAGTGGCAAAAAGCTAAGTAGCATAGCAAGGGCCCAGAATGGTTTGGCTTCATCTGTGAGCACCAGCCTGAGAGCAGAAGCCAGAGCTCCTGTCCAGCTTCCACCTCGCACAGCAAGGATGCCTCTCCAGAGGTGCACAATGCATCAAGAGGACATGTAACATCCAGCCCTTTTGTTCAACAATAGCCCAGAGCTAAACTAGCAAGAACATGGCAAGGTGAGAACATCGCAGGCACACAACGTTCTCCTGCTAAATACCAGGTCTGCGTCGCCCAAGATGCATGCACAAGCTGAAACTGCATGCAACAGGCAAGCAAATATTGACCCATTTCCACAAGGTTTCCAGGGCACTGCTGCTTGTTTTCAGAAGCCAGGGAAAGCAGGCGAATGTGAAACCTGCCCAGGGCAGCCCTCAGCCCCAGCCCCCAAGGGCAGCCAGCCCACACCAGCCACCCAAGTGTCTCTGGAGCAGGTTTCAGTACCTGCTCGCACAAGCAGGCAGAGACCTACTGCTCATCAGAGCCTGCTCAGCTCCGCAAACGAGCAGATGTGGGGGGTGATGGGATAAAAAAAGCACATGGGGGCGCAGGGGGAGGTTCAGCATGACTGCAACTCCCTTTTCAGGGGTTTGGGCGGGTTGATCAGCATTTAAACATTTTTCTTGTCACCCTGTTCAATACCTTCTGCTCATAGGGTGTGTTCCCAGAAACGCAGGAGCCCACAGGCCTGCACCCCCACAGCATGATTCACCCTTGGGTGGGATCATAGCTCCTCTGAGCAGATATTGCCCGGAGAGTGCCACCCGTCTCCCATTCTAATGTCTCTGCTCCATCTAGTGGAGCACACCCAGCTTCCCAAGGGCCAGCAGCAGCAACACTGAACAAGGCGGCTGCAAACTCACTTCGGCTGCAGGAAGGCTCCAGGATCAGAGAGAGAGTATCCAGGAAAAAGGAAGCAGCCCCTCAAAAAAAAAAAAAAAAGGCCAAGCCTCCTAAAGAAGGAGGAATGAGGCCAAAAAGCAAAATGTGCCATCTCCATATGCTCTATGTAACATCATTTGTTTCTACACAAGTTTCCAGCATCATCTCAGAGCAATAGGACAAAAGGGCATGTAGTATGCCCTAACCACACTGTTTCCTAAGGAAGATACAATTTTTGTGAACTTGAGGGAGCTTTAGAGGGGCCCCTTTGGGATAGAACAGCACTAGCCACATGGCAAAGCGCTGACTACAATGCATTTTCTTGAAGTACTTCTTATGAGAAATCTCACTCAGCCCACGCAGACAGAGCATTAAGGGCACAATCGCCGTGTTCGAATGACATAAAGGTGTCAATCATGTTACGTTTTTGACAGATGACTGCACTAAGGCCTGGGTTCTGAGAGATTTCTAAAGACTTTCAAGAACACACGTCACTGCTGTTTAACCCCAGCAGTAGAGTGCTGGGGTTCAGTGCTCTGAACCCACCAGAGGAGAGACACCATCTCCTGTGGCAGTCCTTTACCTGTCTCCCAGCTCCTGTGCTATCACCAGGTGCTTCAGATGGTACTCGATTGCTCTTTCATAGTCTTGAAGCAGTGTGTACGTGTTTCCAAGACTGTAGCAAGCCTGGGCTTCTACTGCTTGGTCTTTGAGTTGTCTGGAGAGCTGGAGCGTTTTCCTGCATGGAACAGGTGGGAATGAAGAGACCTGGTCACTGCAGGGCACCTCTGCAAGGGTACAGGAAAGTCACCACTTTGGCATGTGCTGTGTTGAAGTTGATGCCTGTAACACACTGCAGGCTATCAGGTGGCCGTATCGCTCGCCACTGCTGAGTACCACACATGCAATTGGCCTCCAGGTCCCTTGTCACATCCCCCTGAGACTATGACTTCACTGCAACAGGTCAAGATTTCCAGGGAACACGTGCCCTGAGTCTGCCTTAGCCCTTGGCACTTACTTGTAGTACTCAGCAGAGATGTCAAACCTCCCAAGGAAGATGTGCGCATTGCCCAGGTTGCTGTAGGCTCTCCGCTCGGCTGCCTTGTCCCCAAACTCCTTAGCAATAGCAAGGCGCTGCAGCAGACACAGATAAGTGAGTACCAGCTGGTCATTGCCAGGTTTCTGTTACACAGCAACTTTTCTGGGAGATTAACTTCTTGGTCTGCAAAGCTCCCACCCAGCAACGTAGTGGTGTACATGCCTATCAGGGCTGGATGCAGGAGGAAATCTCTCCCTCTTTTGCAATTCAGCATCAGGAAAGGCCTCTGGAAAAGCGGGGGTAAAGTCGCATCCTCCTCTAACTCCTACTCCAGCCTGGCCAGTGCACATCTCTCTAGCTTAAGTGCAAAAGGAGTTACACACATACTTCAACAGCTGAATAAACAGAAGAATGGAGAGCTGTAGGTCAGGCTGTGAAGGGATGTGGTTGATCAGCAGACTGATGTGCAGGAACAAGGCTGTCACTTTGTGCGGTGCTGTGGTACAGAACGAACACACACGTGTGTGCGCTCCATCTCGCTGTCTGCGCTGCAGCTGCTCCTCAGACCTCTGCCCCTGCCTGCACCGCAGTCCTGCCCCTCCTCTCGTGTCCCCCCTGCTCCCCGTGCTTCCCCACCTCTCACCATCCACTTTACAGCACCTGCTCCTGGTCCCAAATACTGCACAGAGCTTTCCTGCCCCTTTTCAAGCCCCTTCTCCCAAAGCACTGCTGGGTGCCCTCCGCCAGCATTTTAAAATCAGAAGAGCTGTGACAGGGCTGACTTCCCAAGGTGCTGAGCATCTTCCACTGCAAGGAAACTGATACATACTCTGAAATAGAAGCTGAATTGCATTTGAACTGAGGCAGGCACTGTGACACCTCACCCCCCTGTAAAGCTTTACAGAAAGTTATTATGTTCTACAAACAACATTTATTCCTGATTAACAACTCTTTCAGCAGATTAATTAAATTTATGGCTTGCATTTATTAAAATCTAGACTGATACAAATTAAGAGCAGAAAAGCCCCACTAGGCCCAGCTGCAATTTGCCCTTAGATCTCTCTTCTGGTTTCCAAGCCAACAGCACCCTTCCCTCAAAGCTGCTCATGAGGTGCTGATGGGGATTGGAGTAAGATGCTGCTCAGCTGAGTTAGTACAACAGGGCCAGACCCTACACACAGGAGGGAGAAAAACATCTCCCTCTACTTCCCGGGCTGCGGTGAGAAGAGAGGCTGTTCCCCAACAGCCAGTCTCAGCCCCTGACCTCAGGAAGAAGGCGCAGCTGTTTCCTACCTCCTTGTGAAAGGCTATAGCTTCACTGAAGTTGCCAAGTAAGTACTGGGTGTTGCCGAGGTTGCCATAAGCACGGCCCTGCGCAGCTCTGTCCCCCAGCTCCTTCACCAGGGACAGGTTCCTCCTGAAAGAAGTCAGAGCAGTACATCTGGTGAGACATGGCCAATACTCCACAAGAGACAGAGCAAAGAAAGTTGCACGGTAAAGAAAGGAGAGCTAACCCTGGAGGAGGCATTTCCCCACCCCAGCCGTCTGTCCTGTGCACAGTCACCCCTTGGCAGGTGAAAGCCCGGTGATCTGTGCCAGCCGCAGTCCCTGCGGCTCTCTCCACCTCAGGCAATCCGCAGCTGCGTACAGGAACTAAACCAGTGCTCGCACACCGGTGGTCTGACAGGATCCCACCTTAAAGAAGAAATGGCCACTTCACTGTACAGGGGAGAACCAGGAGCATAGGGGAAAGGAGATTACCTACAGCAGGACAGGGACAAACCTGGGGAGAGGTGCAAGATCCACAGTCCCATGCCAGGGCTCTGCTCATAGAGCTTCCCAGCATTTCTCTACCTTGTTTTTTCTCCCCTTTACACATACAGCACACACAGGGAAGTGTAGAGCTCCCAGCTGCCACAGATATATCCACCAGCTATGCTACATGCACCATTCTTTGGAAAAAGGATAGCAAGGTGTACATAGGCACTATCACACTCTCAGATATGAGAAGACGGATGTAAGATCTTGTCACTCTCCATTTAAAAAGGCTACTTAAAACAACCTGCATTATTGAAGCAAAACTCTGAAGTACAGGGAGAAAAACAGCCCCAAAATCTGGTGACAACCTTCCTGTGTGGGACGTCAGCGTGATCTTTGAAACTAATTAGGAAAGGGAAGGACGTTACAAGGAAGATAAACTACAGATCCATGAGAAGGACAACTGGGACTCCAAGTGAAAGCCTCTTCCCTTGGGTGAAGGAGGGTCTCCACCCGTGGAAAGCCTCTTCCCTTGGGTGAAGGAGGGTCTCCACCCGTGGCCCCAGCGACGGAGACACACAGGGATCCATTCTCACCGAGGCCAGCAGAGCGCAGCAGGGGCTACAGCAGTTTAGCTTCTGACTACAGCTCGGAGGAGGAGCAGGCTATTGAGCTTAATTGCATGATCATACTTCAAACTACAGTGAGCTTTACACCAAGGCAATGCCAGAATGAATTTTAGCTCTAATTTCATAAAAAGCTTGCAGTCCCTCTCTCGCCTGCCTTGAGATTAATTTGCCATCGTAACTTGGCATCTCAGGGGAATATTCCTAATTCATTGTAACATGCAAAATCTATTCAGCAGCCTGATTTTCAACAATGCTGAGTCCACAGTCTCATTCTTTGTAACAAACACCTTCCAGAGCTCCCACATCCTCAGTGGCCCAGGAAACAAATCCCCACTACGAGAAATGCTTCCAACGGGACTCAGTACAAATTGTCACCTTGCACGCCACGCAGCTATCACTAGCCTAGCAGTTACCAGAGCTCAGCTAACCTGCAGATCCTGAAAGCTGTCAGCAGAACAGACACACGACAAATGCCAATTATGACCTGAGCAGGATAAGCTCCACAAAGGTGTACCTGTGTGCATTTTAGCAATCACTGAATGCCTGACTAGCCCTGCTCCCTGCAGAAGAAAGGGTTGGCCAAGCTTGAATACTTACTCGTAATATTCTGAAGCTTTCTGTAGCGTCTCCTTGACTTCTTGAGGCAGGTAGCCTGGATCTTGGGCCATGTTCCAAGATAAGTGCTTCCCCTTTGCATGGTAAACATTTCCTATATTATAGAGTGCTCTGGCTTCACCTACCTAAAGGGAGGAAGAACAGGGAGCAGCAAGGTATTACACCCCACATCGCAATATGGACCTTTCCATTGCTAGGCAGAGATGGTTAAAGCCAGGAGGCCCACATTTTCCTTTCCCATATTCGCTGTCATGGCAGCTGTTACTGCCAGCAGCATGACAGCTGTGATGGCAGCCAGAAGGGAGAGCTTTACACTCCACCTCATTCCAAAGCCCACCTTCACCATATCACATTTACTGACTTGCAGACAGATTATTTTTAAAGCTAGGAAATATTTCCTGTTGGATGCCATGAACCAATTACCTTGTCTCCCTGCTCCTGAGAAATGTCCAAGTGTCTCTGGCAACAAACAACAGCTTCATCAAACTGCCCAAGTATTTTCAGTGTATTCCCGAGGTTGCCACTTGCCTTGGCTTCTCCAATACGGTCCCCAATGGTTCTACACGATGATCAGAGAAAGGGAGAGAGGTGTTAAAGAGCTCACAGACTTTCATTCACCAACAGTTGGAGGCAGAATTCAAGCTGCAGCAAGTGCTGCATGGTATGTACACCACATCCAGCAGTTCCCAGCACACATGCCTGGCTGGAGTGCCTCATACAGGCGCTCTCAATTTTGAAGACAGATCCTAGTTCCCTGTTTTGCTCTCTCAGGTGAACTGCTCTGATGACTTCAGGTGTACTTACAATAAGTACCTGGGGACAGAAGAACTGGACGCTGCCCTGCACTTGCTCCAAGCGCCCTCCTCACATCCTTATCCCTTTCTCCACCTTGCTGCTCTGAAGGCGGCTGGCCCATTCTTGTTGCCTCCTCAGTTCTACACAGGACAGTCACCCCATGCCTCAGGGCTAGTTTTGGATGCTTATTTCTGGGGCAGATTCCCTCATCAGGCTGCTAGGTTCAGGCCCCACAGAACTTGCCTTTGCTCAAGCCCTGACAGGTTGGGTCCGATTAGGATGAAGCACTGCTGACATGCTTACCTGGCCAGGGTAAGGTCGTGTTTATGGTACTCCAGGGCCTTGGAGTACTCCTTTAGGTAGAAATAGGCATTTCCCAGCTGACTGTAGATGGCACTGAGAGTCTTCAGGTCCTCTGTCCCCACCTGCACTGCTGCTTCAAAGAAGGCTGCCCCAGCTTTGAAGTCCCCAGCCTTGCACAAGCGCTCTCCTTCCAGGGCCAGTTCCAGGCAGGATGCCTCCATTCTGCCAAAAGCAAGACTGTCATTTCTAGAGGAGTTAAGTGCACCCACACTGCTATGCAATAGTTAAAGTTTACTTCATTGTACACCTTTAATTACTCACTGCACCAGAAAAAAACACAACTACAAAAAAACCCCAAACGCTGGAGGAAGCACCCTCCAGTCACAGCAGTTGCCTCTCTGCATTCAGCCCCAGCAACCAAGGTACGAGCCCCAGGTAAAACACTGTTTGGGCGATAATAACTCAGGGACACACAGCTAGCACACCTCAGTGGTGTGGACACCAGATTTCAGTGGACATGGCGGGCACTCAGCCCCTCTGAGAAAACAGCCTCCTAGGCATGAGACACAGGAGCATCCAGATTTACAGATCGCATCTGCAAGTGGCCAAAGGCAGCCCCTGTGTTTCCAGTAAGAATCTGGACAAGAAACTTGGGGCTCCTGGCTCTCAGGATGCACACTCATATCACAAGAGTAACACAGCATCTGTTTTTCTTCCAGGTGGTGCACAGCACAGAAGCCACATACCCAGGCTATTCATGCCTGCACCACTTTCCCCGGGGTAACAGAGAGGGTAGCCAAATTGGAATCTATTTTTATTGGATACCAGAGAAAACCCTGGACCGTGCAGAATTTCTTGGCTGAGCAGCTTCCAGTGCTCAGTGTCTGCTTTTCATTAACTCTCCTGCTGTCACTTTTTCCACAGGCACTCTGCACATTAGCCTCCAGGCTAGCTTTCCTCCCTTGTATTTCTCCACACCTTTGGCAACGGCACATGCCATGCTGTCAGTGCGAGCGAGTATTTTGCGAGCCAGCAGAGAGGAGCAAGACCAGCGATACTGCTTCAAGAGAAAGAAAACCTGCTCCTTTGAGTGCTCCACCAAGTCCTCTCTAAGCTACAGCTGTCCCTGTTAGACCATGCGAATCCAAAGTTCTCAGAAGGGACAGAGCATGCATTTGAAAGCTTACGTTTGGAAATGTCTTGCCTGCTGCAAAGTTGACCCCTTCACGAGGTGGATGGACACAGCATGTTCCTGCTCCTCTATTCAGATGCTTCTCTTTGCTCCTTTTGGCTTTTTAAAAATACATTGAGCAGAAATGAAAAGTCAAAACTGTCTAGGTCAAAGGTGGATATCTGCTCAGAAAAAACATAGCTCACTTGTCCACAGTCAGAAAAGCAAGGGTTAGACAAAAGATAATAAATGTCCAAAGGCGGTTTCTATCTTGTTCTCAGGCAAAGAGCACTTGCGGGAGTTTGACTGTGGTACCCAGACCAAGAGAACACCTTGCTTATCGTCACGGCAATAGCAGCAGCGTCTCCTGTAGCAGTTTTTGAGCCCTCGAAGATGCTTCCCCCAAAGCCGCCCTTGTGCAGAGCCAAGGCCCAGCCCCTGCAGCCGGGGTCTCTGCAGACCAAGGCTGAGGTGGTGCTGCTGGCCAAGCCGGGCACTCCGCATGGCTCTGGCTGCTCTCCCTAAGGACACCACCCGCCACTGTGCACCCACACCCCTCCCGTGCATGCCGACTGCAGGGCAGGGTTCCTCCTGCTCCAGCATCTTCTGCCCAAGCCTGCACCCAGCACTTGCCTCTCCCTGCCACGAAGGGGCACCTACAAAATACCAACTCTGAGCCATTTTTCCTACAAACAGGCAGAATGGCATTTTCTCAGCTGCCAGGAAACAAAGCCAGTTCCTCTATAAGCAATGCATAAACTGTCTAAAATCCAACCCTATTTGCCTGGCAATCTCCCTGCTGAGTTGGCTCCGTATGACTCCCAACGCTTGCCAGCCCAACAGTATCCTCCAAAGCAGGACAGCCCACAAGGACCGTCCAAACAAAAAAAACAGTGAAAGAGCTGGTTTCAGACTCTCCTTGCAAACACACTGGTGACCTCTCCTGTCTCATTGTTCATCTGTCCCCAAAACCCAAGAGGGCGAATGGGATTATGAAGCAGCTCACTTGAGCTCCCACCTCAAACTCCCACACAAACATTTGACTTCAAGCTCACTGCAAAGCCCACATTTGAGTGGCTATTGTACTTGCGCAAGAAGGCTGCTTGTGGCACCAGTGCAGCATCAGTCCCTGCCTCAACTTCTGTTTGATAGGGGAAATAAAAATATTAAGACTGTTAATACTAAAAATGTTTAACTTCTCTCTGCTGATCCTCTTGCTAGACCACACGAAAATTCTTAAGAATGAGCTTCTGCTACAGCATGTTGTAGTATTAGAGGGACCCATTTGGGGTTGATACCAAACCTCCATCAGTCCCAAGGCACATTCATGGTTTGTAGCTCACTAGAGTGGTTATCTAGCATGATCATCGGGTAGTGACAAACCACCTCTGATACATCCCAAATGGCTGAAATGTGGCTTTGGACTGGAGAAAGACCAGGAACACCTTATACTCAAATCACCAAGATTAAATTCAGGCAGCTTAGCAGAGATGAATTTTGAGAGGACTTGAAATGCAGGAATGAGCCACTATCACAGGAATTAATGTTGGATCCTCATTAGAAGACAGCAGAGACAGAAGCAAATTTCAGAGTAATTTCAGTTCAAATTTCAACACAAGCAAAACCCTTCCCAATATCCAGGTTCTCTTTAAGAGACTGAATTCACCAACTGTAAACAGTCTAAAAACTGAGCTGGAGACCAATTTCCCTAATTCGTGGCATTGCAGTCTAGCTCGGATCAAACTTGTTGTGTGACCTGAATGGCCTGAAGCGAGGGTTCCCATCACCGCAACACAGAAAACCCTACAGCAACAAAACCCAACTACACACTCCAAGGGTGGCATCTTGCTCAGGCCGTATTCACCAGTGGAAACACAACCAGAAGTGAAATTTGTGCCTCAGGGCCTGCATTCTGATACACTCACACACACACTTGCACACGCTCACATTCTCTCGGTGCTTTCCTGGTGTTCCCATAGTAACTATTCGGGCGCAAGGCAGTGACATGACCTTTCAGCGCACACAGCCTTTAATTAAAATCTGTTTGTCCTTGAACAGGCTGTTTTGCAGAGTATCTGACTTACCTAATTAACATCACTGCTCTGTTCGGGACCTAAGCAAACAAGGGGAAGGGAGAGGAGGCTTTTCTCCGCACCGCAGTCTGCCCAGCCTTTGCTGCTATGTAAAGGGACAAGAGTCAAGGAGAGCAATTATTAATAGAAACACAACCCACTTCTAAAACCCACCTGCCCCTCCCACATCCTCAGGGCCCCACAGCCAGAGCTAGTTTTCGGAAGCAACTTTGCATGCAGTTCAGTCACTGCAGGCTTAAACGCACTCAGAAACACAATGCCAAGGGCAGGGGAACCAGCTCAAGGTCAATGAAAAAACTCAAGCACACTAAAACACTCCATGTTCAACACTTTCCAAAGGCCATAGCTCAACTGTCCATAAGAAAAACACAGAAGGGTGATTTAGGCAGAAGATGGGAATCTGCTGTTCAAGTGGGCCAACCTGAACCACCTTGACAGGCTGGGAAAGGAAAGGGAAAACAGTCACGGCAGACTCAAGTTATAGCCCCAGTTCCTCCCACAGCACTGCCTGAGCCCTCCCCTGCCTCTTCTTCTGCAGGTTGTGCATTTTCTGAACATAAACCCAGAGCTCCAAGCCCACTGGCAGAAGGCAGCAGCAGGGCTGAGGTCCACGTGGAACAATTTTGCAGAGGTCTCTCTAGTTCACAGGCAGGATCTGGGTTTTTGAAGGTGCTGATGGCATCTTCATGCACTGCTCTCCAGTTTTCAACTGGTCTCCAGTTTTTACTCCAACTGCATGGGCAACATTACCATTAAGTTACTGGAATCTTGAACTATGTTTATCTGGGACACTTCTTTTTCTCTCCATTTGCTGCCCTTGAAAGGGAAGGGGAAAGGAGCATTGCTTTTGTTTCCAGAGACCTAGAGAAAGTAATGTCTTCTTTCCTCTGGAAATATCATATCCTTCATCCGCTGTTGGTTTCAGGTAGCAGATAGGCAAGTTCACAGCTGAAATCCAGGAACAAGAGTGTGTCTTGGGTTACTCACATATTTGCATCACTGCCCAAAGAAAAAGGGCCCTAGAAGAGTCTGTGAGATGGTCAAAGGCAAGCAAGTTCCCTCCTTTCTGAATTGGTCCCTTCCCAAAGCACTTTGCCTCTGTGGTTGCATCAGCTATTCCTGTTGGTGCCTCTTTGCTCCAAGAGCAGAAGGACTTCTGCTGCTATGAACCTCTCCTTGTCAGGTGAGGAACTCAGCGCTCCTCCAAAAGAGGGTCACCTTTAGGCAGCAGCACTCATTAGTTTGACAGGGTCCAAAGATGCTTCATTCATCTGCCACCCAGAAAGGTTTGTAAGTTCCAGAAATTATCTGAGCAGTTCTCAGACTGGGGAAAAGCAGAAGGCAGCTGGCAGATCCCACAGAGCACATCCCTGCCTATTGAAATGGGCTCCAAACCATCCCCATCTGAGAAGGCACAGCCTTCTACCCCCCAGGTATTAAGTTGCTCCTCTGCTGACAAACAGGCAACACGCCTGGGCCTGTATCACCCTGAGCAAGCCCCTACTATTCCTGTCTTAATACCAGAAAAGAAGATTCAGGCCCTCCTGAGCCAGCAAATTACTGCTGACAAGCTGAAGGTGCTGGGCTTGGCCATATGGTGTGGTTCAGGAGATGCTGCAGAACATGAGCTGCTTTCCACAGCTAAGACGCTGGAACCTGTTAATGCAATTCCATCACGCTTAACCTTCTAGCTACGGCACAGTACATCCCTGACCGGGGGTTTGAACAAAGACATGGGGAAGGGGGAAAGCTCACTTGAAGCGGCCCCTGTTCATAAGCCTTGCCCTAAATCAGTGCAACACACTCATATAGATTTGCGTGTTCCTGCAGATAGGCAGGATTGCCAAGTATTCACAGAAGTCGCATCCCAGACTCCAGGCCCACCACATGCAGCCAGGAAGGTCTGACAACCTTCCCAGATCATGTCCCAGTCCAAAACAAGACTACACCACATATA